ATGCAGAATATTGTTGCTCCATAAGATGATAAATGCCCAACCTGCTCCCATGCTATCTTTGCAGGAACCCTGTGTGACTTTGAGAGGTGGGTGTCCAATATGGTCTTTATATAAATGTTAACAGGCTTTTATTTACTGACCCATTGCCCACTCTACACTTTCTGTCTAGGCTGATTTCCACAAATCCCAGTGGTGGCAAGTGTTTACTCCACATGGGTTTGCCTGGGTTATGGTAGTGGCTGTATAGCACTTTTCACACACATGAAATATCTTTCAAGATTGGTGTTTGTAGGTGTTGTGCTGTAATGTCCCAAATGAAAAGGGCAGTGCTCAATGATGGAATGCATGGTATTTACTCTGCAATGCTCTAGTGAATAATTTTGCTTGTAAATGCCATTGGTACTCTGTGATGCTGCTGAGTCTTGGGAGGTGTTATAGGGATCTAATGAGGTTGGCTGAAGTATATCATGTGATTAATCTTAAACAGGTGTTTTGTGTTTTTTCAGCTTTATCTAACTGTGTAGCACCCATACTGATCATCGTTAGTTCACAATCGAGGATGGAGTGTAATCATTCTTCAGCTCTGTTTCCTACTGCAACTTTCTGTACATTGGTAGCTTTTGTTAACATGATGTTAATGTGGCTGGCGAACTTGAGTTTTTTTGTTAAAGGTTACCTTAAGGTACGGTACATCAGTGTTTCTTTCAGAGGGATAGCAGTGCCCACAAAGGATGATTTGTCTTCATTAGCATGTCTGTTGTTCAGTGTGTAGCACATATCTTGGCTTTTACAGGATTGTTGACCACCCCTTTCTCATTCCACCATTTGCTGTTAAGGGATGGTATGATCTTGTTTTTGATTTCAGCTTTGTTAGAGCTTCTACTGTATACCAGAATGTTGTCAGCAAGCATTAGCTCAAGCATCTGGACATTCATCTAGTTGGACTGTTAGGAAAGGCTATATCCATAGTTTACATGTTTAAGAATACAGGTGAGACTTTTTATTCTTGAGACAAACAAGTATTGATGGTGATTTGATTGCCAGCTTCCACATTTCTTAATGCATATTCTGGTAGTCGGTGCAGCTATGAACCATCTTTCACATGTTACACTGATGTGTATTCTGAGCATTTTGTCAGAAAAATGGGCTGCTAAACTTTAAGCATCTTCTGATTCAAAACTACTGCCAAATTGTTCCAACCTGCTTCAAAGCCTTCCTGTGTATCAGTTGCAAATTCAACAAAGATGATCCAGATTTCTCTTCTATTGCAATAACCATCTAATGATGAGGGTAGCAGTGGTTCAAGCTCATAGGCAAGTTTTCTAGTTACAACCTTGTCTAGGACCTTATAAATGTTGTTCTGTGGAATGATGATTTGATGGCCTTTCAGACAAGAGTGGCCATTTATGGCTTTCAGTAAGGATTTGATAAAGGCATCAATCCATGTTTCAGGGATGCTACCTGTTGCCCTACAATGTTGAAACTTCAAGTCTCATTTCAACAGGTTGGCTTCTGTAAGCTTCCTAAAAGTGGAGATTCTTACACCATCTAGACGAGGAGTTATATCTCTAGATGTATTTATGGAATTGTATATCTCACCAAGCTAAAAATGGTTTCCATAGCTATAAGTAAATGTAGTTCAAATAGGAATTGCTGTTACTAAAGCCGCATTTTTATGTCACCATGGTTACTTTGTTTAATTTATCTGTTCATAAAGGCTTTTCCTTGGCTTTCATCTATATTGTAAATGACTGGTATTGCCATGTTTTCAGTTCCTGTGACAGCCATAAACTTGCAGAAGTGTCAAAATAAAGTGCATATGAGATTGGATTTGCTGCATAGTTCATTCCATTTCATGTCTCATTCTTTCAAATCTAATCACATGTAGAGAGAACAGGCTCTATACTGTGCAGTTCTTCAGTGCTCTGCCTAGGCTGGGTCATGACTTATCTGCATGAACTCATCTTGACTTATTACATGTTTTCTAGGCTTTATCAGCATCATTATTCTACCAGTATAGGGTTTTCCTTTTGTAAAAGTTGTCTCACCTTCACTCAATAGTGGAAAGATACTTGAGGATATGAGCATTGCCAGAAAGCATGGAATCTTTGTATAGGTTTCTGAATAATTTTATATCAGTATGTCTTCATGTGCACCTCACACATGAGGTGATGACTGCTGGCACCGTCTCCTGTGTCAAGTGGAGATGACACTCAAGGTGGCATTAGAAAAAGGAAGTTTTATACAAGAGTCTCTGTTGCTTTGGCACTAAGTGATTCTTATTGTTTTACCCACATTTAGCAGTATAAGATTGGAAAGTAGAGTGTAAACCTTTGTAATTAGTGTTTACACTTGCATTTCAGGATTGTTATCAGGCAGAACATCCAATTTTCAGCATAATGTGCTATATTACCTTTCATATGCATACTGGTGATGTGTGTGTGTGGGTAACTCTGGATAAGCTATCTGGATGGTTTGTGAGAGTGAACTTGTCAGATTCTGTGAGTTTAGTCTCTTGAAAGATTATGATGTCATACAATTCAGAGATTTCTCAAGAGAGTATTTGCTTCCCCTGACATTGAAGTAACCAAATATAATGTGAGACTGGCAGATTATGGTGCACTTTTAGTATGTGCATCATTTACCAACTTGGTGTTTAGGCCTTAGTTTCCCTGTTTTTCTTCTTCTGCTGTTTAGTCAAGATTTCCTGCTGAGCTTTGATGCTTAGTCCTCTCATTGTTGAAATGCCTGTCTGGCACAGGACCTTATGGCTATTCAGCCCTATTTATAACCAATAACCAGGCATCTCTTTGTTGTTTCCACCCTCTAGTAACAAAATGTAATGATGTATCTTTTCCATTTGATGATCTATAAACATATCCATTACATGTGACTCTATCTGGTTCAGTTGGCAGATTTGTGTTGTGTTGGCTATTGCACAGAACTAGGCTCCAGGTGGTTTAGTACTGGGAATGATCTTACCAAGAAAATAGTCCCTGTCTCAGACTTGATACCTTGTACATGCACTAATACTAAACTCAAACTAACTTGTAACATCAGATCTATAATTCATCAAGTGTTAGTTCTATACTTATACTTAAAATTCAAGTTACAGTAACTGTTACTGTAATTCAAACTAAAACCTAGATCTATAACTAACACTTAATAATACTGTACTTTTGTCTGTAGATGAATATGCTAACACTTTATATAAAAAATGAAACACAAACTTACTTTATAATTGAAACTAAATTATAACTTGTACTTACACCTATAAATTAGCAGTTGGTTACTGTGTGATCAAGTCTATATCTAATCATGCAGTAAATTAATACTTATCAATAGAGCTAAAAAAAAACCTGTTGTTTCTGTATGTGAGGTCAGCTTTTTTGTGAAGGCTTAGTCAACATGTATAAATGAACCAAGGTCAGTTTCTAACTGTCCTGCTTTGTATGTAGATGGAATATGCTCGATTGAGAGTTCAGCACATAGAATTAGCAACTGCCCAAACCCTTGGTTCCCCCAACCTGAGGAAAGACTTCACTGGTGTTTCTTCTCCTGGCAACCCCAGTGACCTCCGTACAAAGCAAGAAATTTGCGATCAGGAAAGGAGACTGAGAGAGCAGCTTAAACAACAGGAAAATCTGATTACAGGATATCGAGATGAGGTACTACGTCTACAGGGTGAAGCTCGTCACTTCCAGCGGAAATACTGGGAACAGGTAAGTAATGTGTGTAATTTACACTTCTAATTCTTGAAAAGAAATTTACATAGTCTAACTTAAGTATTTTATCTACCTAAAATTGCCTATGTGAGTTTAATTCAATTATATTTGGAATGTATAGGATAGTATGGTTGTATTTTGAACTTTTACGAATATTGTACATGAAGTATTACCAACTTGGTAAACCATAATAGCAGTGACACAATTTTATGTAAAATCATTTTTTTAGTAAGAAGCTGGAAGTTACAGCCGAGCAGGATGAGTTTGGCTTATTTACTGATCAAAAAGTGTGAACTTTATTCAGAATAAAATAATCAAATGACATTTCCAATACAATCTTACCACTTCTCACACAAAATTATCTTTATCTTCTTTCTGCCCTCTAAGCATTTCTAAAAAAAATTTGTGCTCTGTTCACCAGTCTATAAACCCTATCACTTTTGTGCCATTTTTGAACATGTACATATCATGTGACTACTCTCCACTAATAGTATTGCACCATTTATAGTGACACAGCTAGCTCCCTCTGCTATTCACCCTCAATCCTCACTTTCGCAGTTGGCACAGCTTTGTTTAGATGTTTCTTTTTTTGTATGTGGCTACTGTTTACGATTGTGCTTATTTGCCATTTCAGTTTTCTTTTCAGCAGTGTTTTTTTACTGTGTTTGCATATAGTTGTTTCAATGATATATATATATATCTTGTATTTGTTTCTTCTTACCTAATTATATGAGAATTTCATAGGAATTCACGATTCAGTGTATCGACTATGGTACTTCCCATTGCCGACGATGACGCTGCTGACATGACTTCCCATGAATCAGGTTTGACTTTATCTGCAGATGAGGTGCATTCCTTAATTCATAGGGAGCTAGATTCTTATGTTCGACCAGTGATTACTTCTCTTTTTCAACCTGACAGATCTTACCACTCTTTTTCTGGCACCTTCTTATTTTGATCCACCACACTCTATGCCTCTTTAAGAGTTTTCCCCTTTCATTTTTTATACAGCTAGTTAATCAGGTCCTCAGTTGATGCATATTCTAGTTTTGCTGCATGTTTGAGATGTGGGTGATTTTGATAGTTTTCTTTTGCCTGCTCCAGTTGCCATGCCAACATGTCACTCACTTTGGTGAGGGTTTGTTCTTCTCCTCCTTTCTTCATATTGCTTTCAGATCTCCCAGTGGTTCTGTGTTAAGTTTTTTCACTTGTACACTTCACACTTGTTTGTGATACCCATGGTAGGCGTGGCTCAGATGCCTTTTGAGTGGCTTTGTCCTTCTTTACACATGAGAGAATTAAGAATTTCACCTCATCAGTGCTCGGACTTTAGCAAGTTAGATACTTATGTGACCTTTGTCGTATAAGTTAATTTAAATTTATTGTAAGTTAGATATTGATTACAACTTATTACGTACTTTGTAGACTAGGTAAATTTCAATGTTTTGTCAGTTTGATATTAATGAGTACTTTGGCAACTAGGTATGTTTAGATAGTTTATACTTTATATATCATTCCTACTGGTAACATCTAATTCAATGTTCTATCTGAATCATTTTTTTTCATCATTGTTCCATATGTGCCTAATTTTCTTCAGTGTAGGACTTAATTTTTTTCCTGTTCATGGGGCTGAGCTTTGATTTGGCTACATTTTCTACATTCTTGATACTAGAATCCAATTTTCTCCTCTTAATCTACAAATTGGGGTTCTTCCCCACAGTACCTACATCATCCAGAGTTATTTATAGCTAGAAGTCAAGTGTTCAAGTTTAGGGCCCTACCATTTGGACTAACCTTGGTTCTTTGTGTTTTTGTTAGGTGGTAAGAACTTTAGTCCAACATCTTTATTTAATGGGTCTTTGCACTCATCATTACATGGATGAGTAGCTCTTGCTTGCTTCTTCCTGTTCACAGTTCAGAGATCACACTCATCTGCTCATACAAGAAGTACTACGGGGGGATTCTTTATAAAGGTGAAGAAGTCCATTCTTACCTCCACTCAATACCTTGTTCCTTTGGGAGTTTCTTCAATTCTAAACTCAGTTGGGCCCAGCCTTTTCCTCTTCATCTTCAGGATATTCATGTTCTCTCACAGCTTGAGAGGTTCCATCTGTCTTGTAGATGTGCTTGCCATGTTCCTGGTGCCCTGAATCTGGTTGTGGATCATTTATCACGACCCAACAGGATTCTCCCCATAGAATGGTCCCTCAATCCACAGGTCCTTCGGTGGGTGTGTTCTCAGGTGGTAACACCTCATATTGATGCTTTCACCAACCACTAAAACACTATACTTCCTTCCTTTTGGTCTCCTGTTCTACAACCGCTAGATCTGGGAGTGGACACATTAAGTCAAGATTTGAGGGGTCCCTATCCAAACCACTGTGTTGTTCCATATTAGCTGGTGCAGCTATGGTTCCCTCTGCCTTGCCCTTACCTCTGTCTCAGTCTCTACTCTGTCAACCTTGGTTGGACATTGTTCATCTAGATGTCACTATACTCTCTCTTCATGCATGGCTTTTATCAGGTCCCTTGCCTCAGCCCAGGGACTGACTCCACTTGTTGCATTTTTCCTTTCCTGATCCTTTAGACCTTCTTCCATGTCCATTTGTCAAAGGCAATGGTCTATCTTTGGATAGCCTTATCAAATGTCTTCTGTTTCTCCAAGTATTATAAGGTTTTATCTTACCCTATCATTTACTTCCTTTTCCACTCTTTTCAAGTCATGTGTCCTCTATGTTCCTTTGATTTACCTGATTGGGATCCCATTGTGGTCCTTTATGCCCTTTCCCATCCTCCCTTTGAACCTTTGTCTTCATGTTCCACGTACCATCCCTCCTAATTTCCTCTTTGTAATTCCAGTTCCTTGATGTATGATACACTGTTTTCTTATGCAGTTGGGATTGATGAGTATATGTAACAGTCCACATGCCTTAGTCACTATGTTTATATTACAGTATATTTGATCTTTTTTATCCTCAACCTTCTAATGCAGAGTAGAAGTTATGGAACCTTGTCTGTCTAGTTGAGGTTGTGTATGTACATAGCCTATTCAGTTTCTATTTTACTATGGATTGCACCTCCAAGAACAAATTACACTTGTCCACATACTTTTTTCCACGTGTATCAGATTCATTTCCTACTTCAAGGACGAAGAGCATACCTTTTCCAGAAGTAGTGCAGTATCCCACAAGTGTGTTTTGTTTTCATCTCAAACACACCCATTCATTCTGGGCAGTCACGTTTTGCTTGGTTTCAATGTTGTGTGCCTAAGCCAGCCCCTTTGCCTTTGCAGTGTAGGATTCTAGCTTTGTGTGAGAGGAGGTAAGACTGTATCGGAAGTTAACATTTTCTTATACTCAAAATACATTTCCAATAGGTACTTGCCCTCCAGTCACACACCTTACACCCTTCCTCCCCACTGTAGGTGTTCTTCTTTTAGAACCTGCTAATTCTCGAAAGTGAGGATTGAGCAGCAGTAGCAGAGGGAATTAGCTGCGCCAATATAGGTGGCACAATACTATTATAGGAGAGTAATCACATGATCTGTAAATGTTAAAAAATGGTGCAAAATTAATGGGGTATATAGACTGGTGCGCTGAACACAAAACTTTTTTAGCAATGCTTAGAAGGCAGAAAGAAGACTGAGATAGCTTTGTGTGAATAGTGGAAAGTACCTATTGGAAATACATTATCAGTGTAAGAAAGTGTTAACTTTGAGAAACTGTACTACATAATGATAAGTAATGATAGAATTACTGACATGTATAATTCCTAGCTTATATAGCCTGAAATTTAATTGGTGTACCCACCTGCTAAATACTTTCTTATTTGTATTGGAAATTACAGTGGTTTCATTTGCATATAATATGATGGTGTGGGACATCTCTTCTACTTTAATACTTTAAAGTAAATCATTGTAGTAGAAGTGGTATAATATTGTTTGCTTAAGTACATATTTTTGCCCTGATAATCTTAAATGCTTGCTTTCCAATAGCCAGTTCTCTCGCATTCTTAGTAAATGTGTGTTGTGAGTGATATTTAAGAAGGTGAAAGAGAAGGGTAGATCATTGTAAAGTTCTAAAAAATGTTACAGATTTCATTATTAAAAATATCAAGGCATCAAATATGAATGAACCCCTTGTGATCTTAACCAATCTAGATATAAATGAACCTTTTCTTCCCTTGCAATATCCATAAGTTAATGTATAGATGAAACTTCCCTTCCCCCTTTTTACTTCACATGAGTCAAAATATAAGTTAACCTCCCCTTGTGATCTTTATACGAGTCAAATCATAATGGACCTCCTCTTTTGACCTACATCTGAGTCAAGGTATAAGTACACCTCACCTTGTGACCTTCATTTAATAAAGGTATAATATTCAGAAGAACAGTATTGAGAGGCATTGGTTGTCTTCATAACACCAGCAGGCCAAGAAAGGTTTACTGAAGGAATCTGGGGACAAGAGTAAAATGTACGACAGTGATGTTCACAAGGAAGATAATTCAATATCTGTATCAGATCATGACAGTAAATTGTTTTGTACAATTGTTTATGTATCAAAGGAGGTGTTGCCATCTAATAAAGTCAACAGTTTACTTTAGTTACAGAATTTGAATGGAGCAAATATATAATATTTCAAGCTATGTTAAAATAAATGATATACAGTCTTGTATAAGTAGAGTTATTCAGAGGTCACTTATAGAAGAAATCCTTTAGTCCAAGACATATGCAGTAATGATGGATAAAAGCACAGATTTATCAACACAGAAACATTTATCAGTATGTATAAGGTATGTGAAGTTCTTAATAAATGTATCCTCTGAGGATGGAAAAGCTCACACCACTGTCAGTGACCTGATAAAGTGCCTCACTAACCTCGGGCTTTACCCAGCTAAGCTCACACCACTGTCAGTGACCTGATAAAGTGCCTCACTAACCTCGGGCTTTACCCAGCTAAGATTGTTTCTCTAGCAACATATGGTGCATCAACAATGA